ACTGTTTTTTTTTTTTTTTTTTGGTTCTTTCTGTTTTGTTTTGTCTGCGCGATATGTGTGCATGTCGTTGTTCTTGTTTTTCTTTTTTGTGCATGTCGTTGTTCTTGTTTTTCTTTTTCTTTTTTTTTTGCTTTTCTTTTCTTTTCTTTCTTTCTTTCTTTTTTTTTTTTGTTTGGGCTCCTCTTTGGTCTCTACTTTGTCAACATTTGTTGAATTCCTTTCCCTTTTCTGATGACACGCAGAGAATGATGAAACACGCTTACAGACTTTGGGAAGCTGTTCAGAAGGATGCAGGAATGAGGGTGATAACCAGGACGGGGGGCTTGGATTTCGGCCCACGAGATAATGCAGATCTCCAGGTGCTGATGTTTTTTTTTTTCTTTAGCTGTTTCCAATCGTGCATTTTACCTTCCTACATGTCTCTTTGTCCGTGCATCTGCATCCGCATCTGCATCTGCATCTGCATCTGCATCTGCGTCTGCATCTGCATCTGCATCTGCATCTGCATCTGCATCTCCATGTCTGTGTATTCATCTGTGTGTGTGTATATACATCCGATCCATGAATACATATGTATGGGCCTGGCTCCACTACACTACACTATACATGCATTTGATCCATTTTCTGGGCCCGATTCATCCTTTATGTTGGGCTAATCCCGATTCATTCTGAATGTTAGGCCCGTCCTGATTCAGTCTGAATGTTGGTCTCTGTCCCGATTCATTCTGAATGTTGGGCTTGTCCGAATGCACCTGGTCCAAAAGCGCCCAAATGCATGTAGAATGTTGTGTAGTGGAGTGAGGCCCTATGTGTGTATACAATAAGGGCATGGCAAATATGGCCAAGTTTTTATGACCACGCATTCAAGTCCATAAGGGAAAAAAACTTAAAAAAAGCCAAATGAGAAGAACACGAAAAACAAGGAGTCCGACCTGACAATGGGCCTCGCTTCAGTACGGTAACTCTCGACATGCACAAGAGACAAAAATCATGGCGGTGCATCTTTCCATGTTCTACCGGAAGATTCACTCTCGTTTTGCACATTTTGAGAGTAGTGGAGCGAGGCCCAATGTCGTCACATGACTGGTTGTTATGGGTTCATGTCTGAACGTGGAAGAAATCACCAATGTGCATCCAAAAGACACATTTCAATGTGGCTCCAACGTTCCCCCAAGCATGCGTTCTCGTCTTGTCTCTTGTTTTTTTTTTTTTTTTTTTTGTGTGTGTGTGTGTGTGTCTTTTTGGTTCATCAGTCTTCAGAAGTTTTTTGCCTGAATTGTGCATCCTGCTTACTGAGTGTGTGTTGCGTTTTTTGTCGGAGTCTTTTTATTTTTTTTGCCCTCTTATACTTGTTTAAGACCCCCCCCCCCCCCCCCCCCCCCCCCAAAAAAAAAAAAAAAAAAAAAAAAAAAAAAAGGAAACTTCAGGAAAGAACTGTGAAACAGGGGAAAGGCGCCGACAGAGCTGACGCGGCCTTTGTTGGAAGACTTCACAAAAAGTGAAAATAAAAATAAAAATAAATATAGTCGGTGAAACTCCGGTGAAACAGCTTGTCACAGCCCCCCTTGTCACAGCCGCCCATCGTTTGTTGTTCTCTTCTCCCTCCCTCTCTGCCTAATGGTTTACAGTGCAGTTCGGTTTGACGGTATATAATGGATAATTACTTTACTATAATAATAATAATAATAATAATAATAATATATAATATATATATGAGTTGGTGAAACTCCGACGAAACAGTTTGTCACAGCCCCTCGTTTGTTGTCCTCTTCTCTCTCTCTGCCTACGGTTTTACCGGGCAGTTCTGTTTGTGTTGAAATTTGAAAGAGGACTTCAACAGAAGATTGGTAAGAACACGAAGAAACAAAGTCAAGATTCGCGTCTGACTCGTTCTCAAAGCACATAACCACGCATGCTGCAAAGTCATGCAGCATGAATAGCACAATATGTGAGAACAGAACAGAATCTGGCTCGTTGGCAAATCACATAACCACCACACACACAAAGTCATGCACGAATAGCGCAATATGTGGAACTAATCTCGACGCAGGTCCTTGCACCACAAAAAGAAAAAAAAAAGAAAAAAAAAAAGATAGCGATGAAACACACAAGACCAGTCAATTAGACAAGCTAGGACTTCCTCATCCCCATCCTCGCCGTCAGATAACTGCGAGAACACTGGAAGATGAAGATGACTGGCAAGTTGGGGATGAGGAAGTCCTAGCTTGTCTAATTGACTGGTTTTGTGTTTCATCGCTTTTTTTTTTTTTTTTTTTTCCCCTGTAGGTAGGAGGTTGTTGCGAATTTACAGGGGAAAAAAAAAGAAAAAGAAAAGAAAAACAAGAGAGAGGATGACCGTACGGACAGTGGTGCTATCTTAAATGTATGGGAGCAAGACCTGCATGTATCTGACCACAACTACGGCCATAAACAAGTGAAAGGTCCTAGTGTGAGAGTGTGAACATAAGGGTGCTTTCCAACTTTTATGGTGCTACAATTTGTGTG